TTCCATCATTGATCATAATCTGGCTCTCCCTTGTGGCACATAAGGCTAAAATATGATATAACATTTTTCAACAATAATGTCAATATAAAATATTGCTACTTTTTTTTCCCATCATTGATCCTAGGCCTCCTTAGTGGTACTAAAATATGATATTTAACAATAGTCAATATAAAGATTGCAATTCCTTTAATATTCATATTTGATTTCTACTTTCTTTTAACCCAATATAGGCTCATTCCATCATTGATCATATGATCGTTTTTTCCCTTTCATTGATCATAGCCTGGCTCTCCCTGTTATTCATTTAGACAATCATATAAAGCCTTATTTTCCATAGATCCTTTAAGTAATGCATCACAGTTACCCTTCCCTACTTTCTTTTAACCCTTTCATTCCATATTGATCATAGGGTAAAAGGCTAAAATATGACATTTAACAATAGTCAATATAAAGCCTTTATTTTCCTTTAGATCCTCTATAGTAATGCATCATAGCTTCTGATTGCAATTCTTTAATATTGCTACTTTCTTTTTTAACCCTTTCATTCCATCATTGATCATAATCCTCGCTCTCCCTTGTGGCACATAAGGCTAAAATATAACATTTGAACAATTGTCAATATAAACCTTTATTTTCCCATATCATTGATCCTTTATACTAATGCATCAATAGTCAATATAAGCTTGATTTTCAATTCCTTTAATATTGCTACTTTATTCTTTTTAACCCTTTCATTCCATCATTGATCATAGCCTGATCTCCCTAGTGGCACATAAGGCTAAAATATGACATTTTAATAATAGTCAATATAAAGCCTTTATTTTCCCTTAGATCCTCTATAGTAATGCATCATAGCAGATTGCAATTCTTTTAATATTGCTACTTTCTTTTTAACCCTTTTCATTCCATCATTGATCATAATCTCTATAAAGCTCTCCCTAGTGGCAATATAAGGCTAAAATATACATTTGAACAATTGTCAATATAAAGCCTTTATTTTCCCATAGATCCTTTATACTAATGCATCATAGCTTGATTGCAATTCCTTTAATATTGCTACTTTCTTTTTAACCCTTTCATTCCATCATTGATCATAGCCTCAGATCTCCCTAGTGGCACATAAGGCTAAAATATGACATTTTAATAATAGTCAATATAAAGCCTTTATTTTCCCTTAGATCCTCTATAGTAATGCATCATAGCTTGATTGCAATTCTTTTAATATTGCTACTTTCTTTTAACCCTTTTCATTCCATCATTGATCATAATCTGGCTCTCCCTTGTGGCACATAAGGCTAAAATATAACATTTGAACAATTGTCAATATAAAGCCTTTATTTTCCCATAGATCCTTTATACTAATGCATCATAGCTTGATTGCAATTCCTTTAATATTGCTACTTTCTTTTAACCCTTTCATTCCATCATTGATCATAGCCTGGATCTCCCTAGTGGCACATAAGGCTAAAATATGACATTTTAATAATAGTCAATATAAAGCCTTTATTTTCCCTTAGATCCTCTATAGTAATGCATCATAGCTTGATTGCAATTTTTTTAATTGATCATTGCTACTTTCCTTTTAACCCTTTTTCATTCCATCATTGATCATAATCCTTTAATATTAGGCTTTCCTTGTCTAGCATAATCTCCTAGTGGCTAAAAAAATATGACATTTGAACAATTGTCAATATAAAGCCTTTATTTTCCCATAGATCCTTTATACTAATGCATCATAAGCTTTTTAACCCTTCATTGCAATTCCTTTAATATTGCTACTTTCTTTTAACCCTTTCATTCCATCATTGATCATAGCCTGGATCTCCCTAGTGGCACATAAGGCTAAAATATGACATTTTAATAATAGTCAATATAAAGCCTTTATTTTCCCTTAGATCCTCTATAGTAATGCATCATAGCTTGATTGCAATTCTTTTAATATTGCTACTTTCTTTTAACCCTTTTCATTCCATCATTGATCATAATCTGGCTCTCCCTTGTGGCACATAAGGCTAAAATATAACATTTGAACAATTGTCAATATAAAGCCTTTATTTTCCCATAGATCCTTTATACTAATGCATCATAGCTTGATTGCAATTCCTTTAATATTGCTACTTTCTTTTAACCCTTTCATTCCATCATTGATCATAGCCTCGCTCTCCCTAGTGGCACATAAGGCTAAAATATGACATTTTAACAATAGTCAATATAAAGCCTTTATTTTCCCATAGATCCTCTATACTAATGCATCATAGCTTGATTGCAATTCCTTTAATATTGCTACTTTCTTTTTTAACCCTTTTCATTCCATCATTGTTCATAGCCTGGTTCATCCCTAGTGGCACATAAGGCTAAAATATGATATTTTAACAATAGTCAATATAAAGCCTTTATTTTCCCTTAGATCCTCGATAGTAATGCATCATAGCATGATTGCAATTTCTTTAATATATATATATATATATATATATGTTAAAATCTATGTCCTAAATTATAGATATAGAATATATGATGACTAATTAAGTTTTGATATGGTTATTAGTGATATTGTAAAATGAATGCATCTTCTGCATACGTATTTCTTTTCATTACTGTATACCTACTTTTGCACCACCTGTATACAAGTGTCTTTGTGTGTGTGTGCGTGTGTGTGAGTGGTTCGATTTCTGACCATGAAAACCGTGTTCGAATCTCACCATGGATGTACCTTCAGGGATATGATTTGGCAACTGTTTGGAAAGTATCCGAAATCCATACTACGTGTTGACCCTAAGCCTTGTCAGTTAAATTGAGTAGACGGAAGCGTTTGGTATTTGTAGATATTTGGGCTAGCACAAAGTCGCAGATCATCGTGACCGAGAGTTTCAGCGTGCTGGCGGTGTTCAAACTGCTGATTATGACAGATCTTGCGCAGTCCACCCAGTATAATTGCATTGTAAAAAAATCAGGGGTGAGCTCTCTAAGTCTTGAACAAGGTTGAATGTGTCAGACTAGGCATCTGTAACAGGGATTGGCTAGCTGTTCTAGCAATTCGGACATTGTACACACACACACACACACACACACATATACCCGTGTGTATATATATATATATATATATATATATATATATATATATATATATATATATATATATATACAGGGTGTACATAAAGTTCGTGTGCTCTTTAAAATTTTAAATTATAGTAAAGTGCACACGAACTTTATGGACATCCTGTATATATATATATATATATATATATATATATATATATATATATATATATATATATTGAGGGTTGTAAATTTGAGTGCTCTTAAATAAAAAATCCAAAGATCATTCAGGATTTTATTCTGCTGCTATGACTAGAATAGAAGGTTATTAAGTAATTTTATCGATTCATTTCACTTAATATGAACTCAAAAGGAACTTTTTAGTCTGTATACAACGGGTTATAATTTCCGATGTCTGATTCAAAAGTTTTTTTGGTTTGGAGATGTTATTATAGGTAATTTTTCTTGTTGACAAAGGTCGCAGATGTTTCTATGATTATTGTAATATTTTTTGCGTTTTTAAAATTTTCCAGTTTAAAATCGAATCGGCTGTTCTCTTAATCTTTTTTACTTATATATATATATATATATATATATATATATATATATATATATGTAGTATAAAAAATTAAGATAACAGCCGATTGCGATTCATTATAATCAGAATCGTCTGTTCTTTAATTTTTATACTATATATATATATATATATATATATATATATATATATATATATATATATTAAAATTAAGAGAACAGCCAATTCCGATTGTAAAATGGAATATATATATATATATATATATATATATATATATATATATATATATATATTAAGATGAGAACGAATAGAGAACAATTCCAATGTCCGTAACATTTAATTTAAAAAGAGGGCTCAATATGAAGTAGATCTATATTTTTTATTTTTGGATATTACAAACATATCAAAATCGCTACATAATTGCAGTGGTGTTTCGATGCGTATCAATGCATTCCATCAGACGATTGCAAATCACTACCAAGTGAACCGCCAGTAATTTACAATCGCCTGATCGACTGCAATGGTAGAGTCCATCATATATATATATATATATATATATATATATATATATATATATATATATATATATATATATATCAGTGGACATTGAAGTCAGTACACAGAGGCGAAAATTTGTTTCACGTTAAACGCAATCGTCAGACCATGCGCACTATTCCATGCTAAACGCAATCATCACGCCATGTGCATGACCTGACGATTGCGTTTAGCCTGAAACAGACTGTCACCTCTGGGTGTAGACTTCAATGTCCACTTTTATATTTACATAACGCTCAATCCCTGATATCGAGCACTTTAACCCATAAATATAGCATACCTTAAAACCATATTTTATCACACACACACACACACACACACACATATATATATATATATGTGTGTGTGTGTGTGTGTGTGTGTGTGTCGTCTTTGAATTTCTTGGCACATGGTAATATGAAGAAGAATTATTATTAGTAAATAAGTTCCTCTTTGCCGCTAACCTGTTGTTCTCGTGTCAGAAATACAAATAGCGATGCAAGGAAGTCGTCATACGGAATGTGACATCCGATAAAAAAGAAATTCTTTATCATATTGTATTTACCATGAATTCTTTGACGTCACCTTACATAGAATTAGGATCTTCGTCTTGATATGTTGATTGCATTTTGTTCTCAATCTAATCAGTTAATGAAGAAGAAGAAGAAGAAGAAGAAGAAGAAGAAGAAGCAGATAAAGAAGAAAAAAGATGACGAAAAAGAAGATGAAGAGTAAGAGAATTAAGAAGATGAAGAAAAAGAAGAGGAAGAGGAAGAAAATGAAGAAGAAGAAGGAGACGAAGAAAAAGGTGAAAAAGAAGATGATGATAAAGCAGAAAAGAAAGTAGATGAAGAAGATGATGAAGAGGATGAAGAATATGAAGAAAAAGAAGCAATTAAATGACATAAAAAGACGAAGAAAAAGAAAATGAAGAAGAAAAAGAAAAGAAGAAGAAGAAGAAGAAGAAGAAGAAGAAGAAGAAGAAGAAGAAGAAGAAGAAGCAGAGCACTCAATTAACAATGACAATATCTTGCGTCTAGATTCCCCAGCAATCACTCTTTCAACGCTTCGAAATTGCCTGAAGCTTCGCGAATTTGTCAGGTTATATAGAAAAAATCCACTATCTTCGTTTCTTTATATATATATATATATATATATATATATATATATATATATATATATATATATATATATATATATATATATATATGCGAATAGTTAGAGCACTAACCTTCCGACATCTCATTATGGGCGATTAGACAAGGAGGTCACATCTTGATAATACTTTTGTGGGGGACGATTCCACGAGTTGTCCAACGTAATGTGAAGTAAATTAGGTAGTCGTAATATTTCGGAAGACGACGATTGTCACGATAGTACATGGTCACAAGTCGGCAGATAGAAGCAATGTTGGCTTCCGAAAAGTTTCGCCTACTCAATTTCCCTCACAAGATACGACTGAACTTGTATGCCTTCAGGGATCGTCTCCGCAGACTGATACTGTCAACAAATCATCTTCATGACAAAAACGACCATGGCGAGATTCGAAATAGATCTCATGATTTGGACGCTATTGGCCACATGCTTATTTACCTGATAAATTGTATATACAAACATAGTCTGAAAGGTTTAATCACATCAGGTGGTTGAAACCAATTTTTATCAAATTTATCTTGAAACAGAGTCACCAGATCTGTCTCTTCGTCGCGTTTTCCAGCAATTATCAAGATTATTTATTTGACATTCCTTAACTGTCTGACCGCGGAAGATTTTGACCACGGAATGAAACCGACTTCCTCCAACTGTTAGGTTTTGGGTGAGACCTTGGTCAAGTCTTACCAACCACTAAGCTCCCCGTGTCAAAGAAGCGGTGAAGCCGGGCAGTCCCCGTAAATGTAGAAGGATGTCGACCCCATTGTTGGTCCAGCGGCGCCACGGTAAGAACAACAACCCCAGCGGAGGCAGTGGGGAAGGAGAAGTCCGGCAAAGCTCCCGAGGGCCTCGCTGATTGAAAGGGGATGGTGCGGAGGGGATCTAAGGTTGCATCCTCTTCTCTACCCCGCAGAATCCAAGAAGCAGCAGCGGCAACCAGAACAGCAACAGCAGCAGAAGATTTTGTATATATATATATATATATATATATATATATATATATATATATGTCACTTCCTGTCATCAGTAGGAGCAGCATATGGGAATAGGGATGGAAGTGGAGGATATGCCTCCCTCTCGATCTTCCTTTTTAAAAAAGAAGGAGAAGGTAGAGGAAAAAAATACTAAAATGGAGAAGTCCTGTTAAGCAGAGCGGGACGAGCTATGGAACATTCCTAATTTACCTTTGCTTCGCCACCTAGGAAGGAATTGTCATATGCGGCAAAAGCCAGGAGCCTCCCCACTTCTCCTACTGGGGTTCCGCCATCTCCCGCCATCAACCGAATGTTGAGAGTCAAGCGGGGAATTAACTCAGCAACTGTGGATTTTCGCTTACCTGGCGATTGATCGAGATCAGTGTATCTCTCAGTGACGTGAGTTTCAGAGCAGGCTGGACAGATATGCTCCATTGTTAACAGTGAGGCTATGGTTTAGAAGAAACGGCTGCGAACGTCTTCTGCTAGGGTCCTCAGGTGCGCCCGTTCTGGGATCAGGTCGGCGAGTTGACGGATCGTATCGATCGGGAACATCTCGTGTTCATCAATCTCACATACGCATGCGAAAACGTGTTCTGGAGTGAAACGGGTGGTGGTTCTGACGCTGCTAGCCGTGGCAAGAATGGTGGTGAGGACGACGCGGATGAAGAGAATCTTACGATACAAACGTCATTCTTATAAGGATCTGGTTGGATTCTTTAAGCATCAGCCCAGGATGAAGATCGGGACTGATAAAAATGTTTGTTATTAGCGAAAAATTGGTGAAAGTAGCGAGCCCAGTTCACGTGAACGGTGCCCAGCCTTGATTTCCTTTTTTATTCTCTTTTCGACATAACGGGGCGGATTCCTGACGGACCTCTTCTCTGGTTAAGCTAGACTTCATTTGGTCACCTAGTTTATGAGAGTAATTGTTGTTCCTAGTCTGTTCCCGGCATTTCCCGTTTTGTCATGATCCTTGTCATAATTCTCATCTCCCCACCCCAGTATTTTTGCTCCATTTTGTCTTCATTTTATCAACCTTTGATTTTTCCATTCCATAATTTATTTTGTACCACCATCGCCTCTAGTGAGTGAGCTGCTTCATTCTGCTTTTTGACAGACAAGAGTAGCTACTCTCATTTTCCTGTTGGGTAGACGGTCCTACTAAATTATTTTAAGGTTTTATTGTACTTTATTTTCGTTATTGAGGTTCATCCCCTCCCTTCTCATTTCACGTGATATATTTTTGTAAGAAAAAAAAGACATTTGTACATATTGAGAATTTTTATGTCATTGTTGCTTTTTGCGGTATTGTGGTATATATTGGATTAAATGGTGATGGATGAGTTCTTGTGGTGAGTGAGTAATTGCAATGAATGAATGGGTTGCGAATCTGATTAGCTACATTTAGGATAGTCAGTGAAAACCAGCCAAAAATTAATGTATTAATTAAATAAATAGCAGAATAGTGCTTCTTAAGTAGATATTCGGCGTTGTCTATTCATTACAAACAGAAAATGTTAAAGGAGTTTCCGAAAAATCCAAATAAATCATTCAGCTGTTGACTTTTAGCCTTAATTGAATAAATGGCGTTCATCAGACAATGTAAGTCGGTGCAGTTGGCCGAATATACCATTGGGTGGCTGGGGCAGGCTTGCCGGCTCTATTTTAAAATGGCGAGACGCTCCACACACCGGAAAGGACTTTTTCTTTTTTCCTCTTCTTTTTTCTTTTTTAAATCTTTCCGTTCAGCTGTTTTTGTTTCATTTTTTTGTGTGTGTCTGACGTCGCGAGTGACGTCAGAATCTAAGCTCGTAAATGCTTGGCACACATACATACCCCGTAAACCGTAAACAGTACAGGTTCTTTAGAATGCCTCCTGTCCCTAGGGCGTTAAGGATCAGCAGATAAAAATGTGGATGGGCAAAAATAGTGGCTTTGTTTAACATTATCTATAGGCCGTTTGAGCTTACCCGGTTCACTTACAAAAAGTAGGGTAATTTTCTTTTTTTTAATATTTTTGTAAATTAACATTTCATGATTTTTCTGTACCCAGAACATTTATTATTTTAGCAATTCAGAAGGTAGAATCCTGTTCATAACATAAATACAATGTTAAAACCCTGAGTTTTTACAGAGTTATCTGTACTTTGTTTCTATTTACATCTGTCAAGTTTGATACTGTGCTTTATGTCATTGATGGCGTCCATTTTCCCAATTAGAGATTCTCCTCATTTTTTTTATATATTTAAATACTTTTCTAATTTTTGGCACAGACATAACTGCATAATAATTATTTAGCTTAAATATAGAAAAAACACAGATATATTTGTCAGGTTATCTATTTATTTAAATGATTTTATTTTATTAACTTATCTCTGTATATTCGAAATTCGAAAACATGCTTTACGGACTAATCAATGATGCGACCAAAGATTCAACCTTGACATTTGTAAATAAAAACGAAATACAAGTAACACTTTAAATAATTAAGGATAGATTTGTCATTGTATTTATATTATAAACTGGGCCCCACATTCGTAATATTTCCAATTGAAATTCGAATGGGTCTTTCTGGATTTCAATCCGATAAAACTGGCATTGGATTTTTAATGTATCCCTCAAGTAAAAACAGTTTCAATGCTATTCCTATAGTAACATCATTTCCAATGCATTCCTATATTAAAAATCATATTCAATGCATTCCTATAGTAAAATGATTTCTAATACATTCTTCTAGTAAAATCATTTCCAATGCATTCCTATAGTAAAAATCATTTTTTAATTCATTCCTAGTGTAAAATCATTTTCCAATGCGTTCCAGTAGTAAAAATCATTTCCAATGCATTCTTATAGTAAAAATCATTTCCCAATCTATTCGTATAATAAAAATCATTTCCAATGCATCCCTATAGTAAAAATCATTTTCAAGTGCATTTCTATAGTAAAAAAGCATTTTCAAAAGCATTCCTATAATAAAAATCATTTTCCAATGCATTCCTATAGTAAAAAATCATTTTCCAATGCATTCCTATAGTAAAAATCATTTTCCAATGCATTCCTATAGTAAAATCATTTTCCAATGCATTCCTATAGTAAAAATCATTTCCCAATGCATTCCTATAGTAAAAATCCTTTTCCAATGCATTCCTATAGTAAAAATTATTTCCAATGCATTCCTATAGTAAAAATCATTACCTGGAAAGTTGTTTATTTAAATTACAGCTCAGTGTGGCACAAGGCTAAAAATTAGAGGCATACACAACGGGGATCAAAACCGAAATCTATTAACTTTAACGTAGTCAGCCACAAGGCTAACGTAATGGGGTGCTTAGTGGGGATAGAACTCGCTACATCAGTCCAGTCTGTGGGAAGTGGTTTGGGTATACAGTTTAGTTTGTCTATACTAACGGCGGCGAGAGCACCCTGTGAGGACTGAACTCACGAGATTACAGAATAGTTCTGCGTGGCAAGCCAACCAGAAACAATGTTTGTATCTATTTTTGGGTTAGTTGTTTTTGTCGCTGACGTCACTGGTGACGTCAGAACTCTAAGTTGGTCAATGTTTTGCACATCTGCACACGTCACGAACCGCACACTGAACAAGTTCACTTGCACTCCCCCTCCACCTCAATGGCATTGGGGCTTTAAATATCACGACATGTAGATACACTTATAAGTAATATTGAAACGTTTTTTTTTTGTTTTTTTTAGTCAGTTACAGGTTAATATTACACGTAAACTGCTTATGCTGATGCCGATAACTTATTTTATATGTCTAAAAATACGTCTCGTACGGGTATTTGGGAGGCGTCTTACATTCCATCTGTAGTGGGTGCCGGACGGTCATAAGCTGATCGGTAGAAAAGCTGGTGGATATGCAAGTTCAAATACTTCAAAAGGATAAAGGTCGAACTTCTTTTTTTTTTTTTAATAGCCATAAATTGTCTTCATCAATTTTTCGATCAGCTCAGAGTAAATATATCACATTATCAATCAAAAATACGCTTGTGCACAACTCATTTGATTAATTTTTTATTTAGTTTTTCTAATATTTTTACATTTTTCCGTTTGGTCCAGTAAGGTAGTTTAATTTCTCTCTCTCTCTCTCTCTCTCTCTCTCTCTCTATATATATATATATATATATATATATATATATATATATATATATATATATATAAAACTAAATAAAAAATAATGAATTTTTTCTCGTCTGTCATATTCAACGAAACAAGTTGGATAGAAAGTTCGTTGATGTAATGTAGACAAAGTGTATATATATATATATATATATATATATATATATATATATATATATATATATATATATATATATATATATATATATATATATATATATATATATATATATATATATATATATATATATATATATATATATATATATATATATATGTTATATATATATATATATATATATATATATATATATATATATATATATATATATATATATATATATATATATATATATATATTTTCTATATATATAGGTAAAAAACAATTAAAGTAAAACGATTCTTTCTGAAAAACCCACATGTATGGAAAGCAATTTTATTAATTTACTGTAAGCATATATGCATTATAAATATTAGATATAAATCTATAAAAACATTAGGCGTTTTTCCAATTTTTTTATATATATATATATATATATATATATATATATACACTCATAAACACACACACACACACACACATATGCAACACACACACATTTCAGTTTCTTCTCTTTTCTATGTTGTTCTGAGAACTCTGTTCCAGTTTCTTGAATTCCAGTCAACTTTGATTTTCTCATATTCTCTCACTCTCAATAACTCCTTGCGTCTTAGAGGCTTTACTGCCTTGCTTCAGGTGAAATGATTAAAATATGCATAACATCAATCAGCTAAGTGACAAATTTGATTTTTATTAAATATATATATATATATATATATATATATATATATATATATATATAGTCTCCACAAACTATATATAGGCATTCATTTTACATATATATATATATATATATATATATATATATATATATATATATGAAATAACTTGTAGGTGAGTTCTATGTCGACACACGACAAAATTTGCTCCATACTTAAATGTATCTTATACGAGGAGCGGCCACACCCTTGGGAAAGGGTATGAATCCTCTTCTTCTTCCCCCAGCTATGGGTAAATAGCAGAACAGACCGGGTTCTATAGCCTTGGATGGCAACTGGTCTACCGCAGAAAGAAATGGCAACCTACTGTGGGGAAAAAATCTGCCTCGTCAGTCATGTATCGAAAGGTACATGATCACCTAAGCGCGTATCATGCTTGGCACGTAACTGACTGATGTGCGTTAAACAAGCATTTGTCACGTCGCCTGCAATTGTCTCTAACTCAGCTTTCTTTAATTTCAGTAGCTTTTCAAACAATTAGTGGTATTAATAGTAATATTATTTTGAATTTTCAAACATCATTCCTTTTTGACAAGGATTTCTTTCATCTTAATTTCATTTGCTTTTTATTCCATTAGTAGTATTAGTAGTAATATTATCTTGACTTTTATTCTTATTAGATGAAGCATTGTCAGCCATTATTCATTTTTCACTAGGATTTCTTTCATCTTAATTTCATTTGCTTTTTATTCCATTAGTAGTATTAGTAGTAATATTATCTTGACTTTTATTCTTATTAGATGAAACATTGTCAGCCATTATTCATTTTTCACTAGGTTTCTTTCATCTTAATTTCATTTGCTTTTTATTCCATTAGTAGTATTAGTAGTAATATTATCTTGACTTTTATTCTTATTAGATGAAGCATTGTCAGCCATTATTCATTTTTTAACTAGGTTTCTTTCATCTTAATTTCATTTGCTTTTTATTCCATTAGTAGTATTAGTATTAATATTATCTTGACTTTTATTCTTATTAGATGAAGCATTGTCGGCCATTATTCATTTTTTCACTAGGATTTCTTTCATCTTAATTTCATTTGCTTTTTTATTCCATTAGTAGTAATATTATCTTGTTTTATTCTTATTAGATGAAGCATTGTCAGCCATTATTCATTTTTCACTAGGATTTCTTTCATCTTAATTTCATTTGCTTTTTATTCCATTAGTAGTAATATTATCTTGACTTTTATTCTTATTAGATGAAGCATTGTCGGCCATTATTCATTTTTCACTAGGATTTCTTTCATCTTAATTTCATTTGCTTTTTATTCCATTAGTAGTATTAGTAGTAATATTATCTTGACTTTTATTCTTATTAGATGAAGCATTGTCGGCCATTATTCATTTTTCACTAGGATTTCTTTCATCTTAATTTCATTTGCTTTTTATTCCATTAGTAGTATTAGTAGTAATATTATCTTGACTTTTATTCTTATTAGATGAAGCATTGTCGGCCATTATTCATAGGATTTCTTTCATCTTCATCTCAATTGCATTTTCCATTAACTTTTTCGTAATGCTAATATTATCGTAAATATTTTTATTATTACATGAGGGATTGTCAAATATTATCAACAATGAGAATCTATTATTTATATCCCTGATAATATTACTTTTTCTAGAAAATTATGATAAATAATATTCCATAAAAATTCTATGTCTCTTCAAGATGTAAGGCGATTAGGGTTATTCCAAGCGTCCTTTTTTTATATCTTTGGTTTTTCTTGGGAATATTAATGGAGTCGTTTCTCATTGCCTTTTTCCCGTTTTTGAATTCCTAGCTTCAGAATTGTCCTTCTCCTAGATTGATTGACATGCTGTCAAAACATCGGAAACACTCGTTCGATCGGCGAAGTTAAGCGGAATCGAAACCCGGTCACTACTTAGATGGGGGACTGCTTGCAAACACCGGGTAGTGCTAGCAACCTCTTCCAGTCTGAAGCATGTTTAAGCTTTAAACTGCCCACAAGAGGTTGATAAGCAGTAATAGACAAACCAAAGAATCTTGCTTTACCAAATCTGCCCTGTGATTTAAGACAACATTCTCGCATTTCTCCTGCTTTCCTTACTTGGGAGTTTGGCTTAACAAAACCAGTATCTGGCTATATTTCTGATCTCCTCATCTTTGTCGCCATGTTTATCACAACGTTTCGGCCGTTGTACGGTCCGGCCTTCTTCAGTCTAGCCCAGTGAGCGAAATAAAGGGTTCAGTTCGACATTCCAACCACCTGAAGAAGGTCGGAGCGTACAACGGCCGAAACGTTGTGATAAACATGAGGATAATAGTCCGAGTAATGTAAATAGTTAACAAAACCAGTATACGTTTAAACTTTCCCCTTATTTAAATCTGGGCTTATGGCCATATCACGTTGAAACATTGGTTTCCGTACGATCACCGGAGATAAAGACAACCTCGTGCCTGGTTAGTACCTAGATTGATAACCGTTTGAGAATCCCAGATGTTGTAAGCTTGGGTATGCGAGTGATGTCATGGTAATGGCTTGGAATTGTATGAAAGGTATGAATACACCTTTTCTCCCATTTAAATCTTAAATAGTAAAACTTGTACCACTAAATTATTATTATCTCAAAAAAAAAAAAAAAATTCTTACAATCTAAAAATATTTTCTGGCTTCAAATAACCTGCAAAGGGTTGACAAGCCGTAAAAAATCAATCAATTATTTAAAGATGTATCTTGCGACACACAATAAACGTTGGCATTAGAAAGATTGTAAGAAAGAAAGAAAAGAGTATTAAACTGTTATGTAATATCAGTTCTCCCCTATGGCGGTCAATGCTGGCCAATCTCGTTACAGATGAAGAAGAAACTTGAAGTAACAGAAATGTGGTTCTACAGAAGGATACTGAGAATACCATGGGCTGAACCTGTGAACAACGACGACATTCTAGAGACAATGACAACAAAAAAGACGCTTATGCTTAATATCAGGAAGAGACAGTTGACATATCTGATGCACATTATGAGGAAAGAGATCTTGGCGAAAATAATACCCACAGGACAGATAGAGGGCCAGAGGGAAAACAATGCATAATCTACTTGGTGAGGAGCAGGGTTTGGGAGAGATGGCAAAAAGATAAAATATAGAAATGAGAAGAAACTGTGGAGAGCCTTATTCGCCAAAGTCTCGATGGGACGCGGCACTTAGAAAAAGATACAACGCGGTACGATCAAAGCGAGACACGAATAGGCTAACTCTGATAATTAGTAAGGTAACTTGCGACGATAGATACGAGAGGGCTGACGGTATGGTTATTAGGGGCGTTGAAGTGAACACGCTGATAGCTAGGTAGATGGATAGATGGCTCTAGACATGTTCCCTGTTCACACGGTCGTTTTTTCGACACACTGAGAAGAATGAAAAACATGTGCAACTCGCCAAACACGCCCCCATTTTGCCGCTCGTTTTCCGCGCTGAGGTGAAAATGCTAGAACATAACTCTCTGTTAGGCAT